TATTTGGACTTGTCATTGTTCTTGGTGTTAATAGTATTTTTTTTGTAGTATAAAGGCTCGTTTAATTGACAAAATAAGATTAAACCAGATAATTTAAGTAATTTGATAAAACTTAATTATATTAGTGAACATTCGATGATTCAATAAAAACATATTTAGACGGCAATATAAATCTTAACATAATATCTACTGAACGAATAAAATCTAATTATTTATTTAATCATGGATAATCTCTTCAACCAAACTAGTAGTTGTGTAATTATGTGACCATAACTCTTTCGAATTGACATATATTTAATGATAGGTTGACAAATATATATCCAAATATCATTTATTCGTGACCACGTGTCTGCATGATCTGTGTCTATTATTCCTTATATTCAGTGTCGGTGTTACACTATGGAATAATTTATTTTTTTAATTTTTTTAATAAATTTAACATTTTTTTGTATATTATAATTAACTTTCACGAGTTGACACGTGTTAATGATAATACAATATGCTAGAACATCAAATACAATATTAGAGGGTCCAATTAATTTTTCGACTTTAAACATTATTTTGACCACTTTTTAGTTTGAATTTGGAAAAATTCAAAACACTAAATTTGTAGTTTTTCAAGTTAGCTTTTTAATACAATTTAAATCACCAAGATTGGATGTTAAGTGAGAAAGATATGCATGAATCAATTAACGTTGCCCACGACTTTGATATTTTAAAGTATCTAAAATTCAAAACGTAACATATTCATGCATAACTTTATCACATGACATTCAGTCTAACTGATTCAAGGTGAACTGAAAATCTACCTCAAAGAACTACGGTTTTCGTGTTTCGAATTTTGTCAAAATCAAACTAAAAAATGGTCAAAATCACCTTCGAAGTTAAAAACAACATTAGTAAAATTGAAACGACATTTAACATCTCAGTTTCGATAATTATTATTGAGTTCCTAGTTCCTACTCGGCTGATATATATACACACTTAACTGTTCTTAATAATATACAATTGAGCATGTTTGACTTCAATTCATAAAGTCAAAATTTCCAAGGTTCTTTTTAATTTATTGATAATCAAATTAGTGATAACATGGATATATATAGTGCTATGATCATGTCACTAACGTGCATTAAAATAAATATTTGACCATTGATATAACCTCATCATTTCTTCAATTATTGTTAATTATATAAATATATAAATATATATAGAAATAAAAATAGTAAAATTAATCTCTCTCTCTCTCTCTATCATTCTCTCTCTACAAATAGGTAGCACAAACATGTGCCTGCTGCTCCTCCGCATATTTCTCAGAGGAGAGAGAGAGAGAGAGAGAGAGGAAGAGAGAGAGGAGAGAGAGGGAGAGAAAGACATTCTTTCTCCTGCAACAACAAACAATTTGTAAATTTGCAACATTTCGAAGCAAACCAGGTAAATTATTTTATACAACAATCGCATTGTTTTTTATTTCTTCAAGAAAAAAAAAACATTTAATTCCAATTTGTCCTAACTTAGGTTCATTATAATTTAATCAATAGGTGATTGTGTGTGTTTTTTTTTCTCCCTTTGGTCGGAAAACTCTCTCTCCTCTCAAGATGCCGGAAAAAGCTCCGAACTTTGCATGGTTTTTCCGGCCGACGACAAACCCCATGGTTCATTGGTGGTTCAAATTTATGATATTTGGGGCATTTCTTGAAATATTGATTCTTTGGGGGATCGATGG